TCATTCAAAGACACTTTTCCTCGAAGATCTCTTTCAAGAAGTTATAAATAGGTTTTCTTGAATAATCTTTGCAACAGAAACAAAGTGTTTTGTCAGTGGTAATAGGACAGCGGTAACAAAGACGTATCCTATGAAGTTTATCACATTATTGGTAATCATATTAAACCGTTTACTGATGCAAAAATTGTGAAAGTGTTCTTTAACTGCTTCTAATTTAACGTTAGTGAAAAAATTAAAAAAATATATATAAAATAATAATTATAAAATGCAAAACAGGAGTTATAATATTTTGATCAATTTTCCACATTTTAAATTTCCAATGTTGACTTGGTCTTAAAGCATTTCTCCCCTCCACTTCCCTTCTTCATTTATCCTAATGTTGCGGCCCGCGTGAAATAACTAACATATGTATGCGGCCCAGCAGAAAAAAAGGTTGAGTACCCCTATCCTAGATCTTTCTCGATTTTTTCAGATACGTGTGCTTTTGAAGTCGACTTTGGCGATTTGGCGACCAAGATTATTCCTATACATAGTATTTTTAGATGCTTTTTTAAAACTCTGAATTTGGCATCTCATAATTAGTTTGTATATTTTTAGATGTTTGACGAAATAGTACGAAAAAAAAAGTTGAAGTTTGATTGAAAAAAACCGTTGGCCTGGTAATATCCTTTACTTTTATTCAAAAAATCAAAATTTAATCAAATTTCAAAAATTAAATTCAAAGATCAAATTTTTTAAATTAAAATTTATTATTTATAATATGAACGCAATTTCTTAAAAATACATGAGACAAGAAAGTTTGTTTAAGTTCATTCTATGTAACTGTGAAACAATCACATTTTCAACTTAAGCTTTTCTAAATTTTGATTAAGTGATCTCGTGTATTAATAGTAGTTTAATTTTGCACAAGCACATGGTTATAGTTCGACTGCTTCATTATGACTGTTTTTTTAAAAAGCATTTTGAGATTAAATTTCAGAAGAAAGGATTGTTGTATTTCTGTAATTTAAAAGACGCACACATACGCAGAATAATTTTATTTTTGAACATTTTGAGTTATTTGTTCATTTTTTTTTCTTTTTGATCACATTTATTATTTTTTTTTATTTAAAAAAAGATTTATTTTGTACATTGAAAAGTGGTAGTAAATAATCAAGGAAAATAACTGATTGCTTAGATTCCAGCCATGTTTCCTTAATTTCCACAGATTAATGAAACAGTAATAACTAACAACATTGATAACTAACATTAACAATTAAGTTTTTTACCCTTTTATTAGCTTCACTTGTATGTAACGGAATCTTTGAACTCGATTTTTACCCACTTTAAAAGGTCAGATTTATTCGAAATTTTGCACACTTGTCAAGGACAGATGACAGTACAATAATTTCATAATTTTGTTCTATTGTCCTGATCAGGATCATCAAAATTAACGATTTCCCATTTCAAAACTTGGCGACTAATTCTAATACCCATTTCCAGATTTGGCGAATAATTCTAGATTTGGAGACTAAAAGATTACGTTACAGCCCTACAGCGATAAAATATCATGGTTAATACAAATACAACTTTTGTAATACAAATAATGCACTTTTATAGCTAATGCTGATGCAAGTTAAATGTCATTGACTTTACATCTTCTTCCGCATTAAATGTTTCAATTAGCTCTTCAAGATTCCTTCTGTTGTCTAATCCTATATTTTGATAATCAGGCCTTATCGACACACTGATAGGAGGCCAATCTATAATCCAGATTCTAAAAAATGACGCATTTAAGATTAATTCATCAATGAATAAATGATAGTTTAAAAAACTAAAAAAAAACCACTTTTTTATTGTAGATCAACTAGTAAGAAATTATAACAATTGATATCGAGCACTCCATGCTTTTACCACAATGACATTAATTTCCTCGTTTATCATTTTGTTCTTATATTAAGAATTGTTTTTACTTTTTAGTTCGATGAACTATAAGAGCATGTTTTTTAGTTATTTCAAACTATAATTTTTTTGCAAACGAAGTTATTTTCAGCTTTAGAGTTAACGCAAAAGTAAACCTGTACATGAGAGAAGCAAAGTAAAAGAAAAAAAAATAGTTGGAAGAAAAACGTTGTTATATATTTTTCAATTAAAATCTAATTAACGTCTGAATCTGTGTATTTCAATTGATGTCAGTTTCTTTGGTAAAGGGCAAATGTTACTCCCACTCTCGTATGAACGAATTTAACTAATTTCTCCTTCGAACTGCTTCTAAGAAACTTTTTATAAGAAACTAGAAGATTCTATGTACATTCCCCCTCATTTTCGCCCCTGGCCTTCTTCGAAAAATGTACGCGGGGGTGGCTCGAAAAACGTAGAGATTATTAAAAGGAATAAAATTGTATTAAGTAAAGTTACAAAAATAAGAGTCAATGACGTCATGACGAAAAAAAAAACTGCAGTAAAGCAAATTTAAAAAATATTAGATAAATGCTATTCAATTAAAATTCCATAAAATTAAAAAAAAGCAGTCTTTGCTCTTTTATTTCAAAGTAAAAATTTCTTAATACTATGAACTAACGATCTTTGATGTTTATGTACTATTTTTAGAATAAATATGCAATAATTTAGTTCAAATCACTAGATAACAGTATGAATAATGAATTTCACGTGACTGAAGGAAGAAAGATTCGATCTAGGTACCTTCCGTTCGCAAATACTTTATCGACCACGTCAAAAACGATTGTCGTCGCTTGGTACTAGTTTACATAGATATCACACCACCACATACCCCCATGCCAGTGATTCGGCGAATAGGCGAACGATCGATACCATATTTGAGGTGAGCATGTGAGCAGTTGCGTCACATTGTGGGTTGCGTCATCATGTATGACGGCTTGAGAATTGCGTCATTTGTGTGAGACGGCTTATTTGCGTCAATGTTTGACGGCCTGGTTGCTTTTGCGGTGGGTAGATGGCGCCACAACTGCGACGCGCGAAAGGTGCGATTCTTTCGTACAGCCAGGGTCACTAATGTAAGAAGGAAGGATTCGATCTGTGTACCTTCCATTCCTAACGCGAGTACTTTATTGACCACGCCAAAACGATCGTCGTCGCGTGATGCTTGGTACTAGTTTATATAGATATCACACCACCACATGACCATAGTAGCATTTTTAATCATTTTTACGTATCTTTTAAACAAAAAAAAACATTCACTTTATTGGTTGAAAAATATTACGAAATATTTTTTATCGACTATTTATCCTAATTTATACAAGCATTTCAGTAAAACTTTCTTAAGTCATATAAAATAATTTCCAAGAAAAAAAATTGAATAATTTTGATGTAGTTCCACTAAACAACAAATCTTATTATACACGAGGCTTTTATGAAAGCGCGAGATTTTGCGATACTGAAAGAATTTCAATTATGAAATTAAATATTCAATCATTTTTGAAAGATAACGGGAGATAAAGAGGAAAACATGAGCCGTCTGGTGGTAACTTTAGGAAACTCATCTTATGTTAACTTGAAGATAATGATCGTTATTAAACACATGTCGTTGAAACTACGTAAAATATCAGGTTTCAAAATTTTGTTAGCTCAGCCCAAATTTAATCTTTACAAGTTTGAAAGAAATTATTATTATATGTGTCTTTTTCTTTGGAGGAGATAATACATTAAAAATGATAGAGATGTAAAATGTAGAATTCTTAATTTGTATCAAAACAATGAATCATAATTACATCAGAATTTCTAAGCAATCTTATAGAGTGTTTTTAAAATTTAAGTTTGAGTTTCAGAGAATGGGAATCAGTTAAATAAATTTGTATTTTATATGTTTTTTATGCATTCTGAAGAGTATGAGAGTACAAAAACATTATATAGAGAATATTTTAAATTATTTTAGTTTTACTGCAAAAAGTTTCTCCTTTTATTAAATGTATAACATAGAAAATAAGAGACAGGAGAATTGATTCAGTTATTTATTTAAGTGTTTTACTCAATTATAGCTTAATTAAATATGTATTGAACTAGTGGAAAAGAAATTTTGTCTCAAAAACAGTTTAGGAAAACAATCTTAATTATTATTCTTTTATTAGTTAAAAAATTCCATTGAAATAGACCTTACAACATTTTATGAAATGTCATCTATAATTTAGAATATTTTGTAAGATTTTAAGATAATATTTTTTGAAATTTTTGAAATATCGAAAAAATTCATCATAAAAATGTTTGTATATTTATTTATTCTCTCTCTGAAAATATTAGTATATTTATTAATTCTCTTTATGCAATTTTTAATTTAGATAAAAAAAATAGCTTTAAATTATTTTTGCAGCCATTTTTTTATTTGCAATATCTTCTTTTTAAAACAAAAAACCAGAGCTCTACAGAAATACTTCAGGGACTTTGCCAACTTGGTTGAAAAAAAAATTAATTTTTGCTTTTTATATTATTATTTGTTAAGTATTTACAAAAAAGTAAACTAATATATTATTCGAATCCATCACCCTGGAATACTTATAGAAATTTTAAAGTGTCCTAATTCAAAATATAGTCGTAACACTGTTTAGACTGATATGTTTCTTAGAATTTAAATTTTGTTTTAAGTTTCGTATGTATATATGAAATACATTTAAGCGTTATTATTATCTAAGATATTATCATTGCTCAATACAAAAAAAAAAGTGTGTGTGTGTGTACTTACATGTTATACTTCTTTGGCGTAACAAGATTAAAATCTTTCTAAAAATCTTTTGCAGAGCAAACTGGGCTAAGAACAAAAGGCGGTCACGCGCAGAGTTGAGCGATACTAACCTTCAGTCAATCGGACCAGCCAAACCTGAGGTAATCGCGATTTAAAGAGATTTAAACACCCCCGCACAGGGACAATAGGACCAATATTATGGGGAGGGGTTGGAAGGCGGGAATGATCTGTTCCGTTCTGCATATTTCTAGACAATGAATTTTCGTATCCGTTCCTATGGAACGCAAAGCAAAGGTTCACTGACGTTGGGGTATAGCTCAGTGGTAGAGTATTCGAATGTAGATCGAGAGGTCCCCAGGTGGAAAACCGGGGGTCCCCTTCTTCAGGGAAGTGAAGAGAAATATTTTTCTGAGAATTTCGAAGGCGGGAATGATTTGTCCCGTTCTGTATATTTCTAGACAAAGGATTTTCGCTTCCGTGATGGGGTGCGCGCGCATCGTAAAAATTTACCCTCATTCTATTTCTTTAAAGCCCCAAAAGAAGTATAACTTCAAAAACCATGTTTTACTGTTTTATATATTTACTCTGTTTACAAATAACATATTTCTAAAACAATTTTATGATATGCATATTACATATGTATTTTAGAAAAATGGGAAATTTATTTTAGAATACATAAAAAATCCTTATCGTTATAAGAATCTTTGTAAAAAATGTGCCCTTACATTAAAAAATGTTAAGAAATCTTGCTATAGAACTAGCATACTTGATAATACACTCACTGCCAAAAAAGTTAAGCACGGAGAGGAAAATGCTAATTTCCGGAATCTAATCAGAATTGAAGAGGATGCAAATCGCTTCAGAGGTAGATGGAAGTATGCAAATATGTTAGGTAACAAGCCAATTGTGCTTTCATGTCAAGAAATATGCAAAAAGGGCAGTTATATAAGAAGCCAGCTTTATGAAGGGTTACAGAAGTTGATTGTAAGTGCTGATATAGAAGGTATTTAAAACTTTCAATTGTTGTGTTTCAGGATTTGTTTTCAAGACTATGACTTCCAGAAAACGAATGGAGATTCTGAGTGCTGGCGTGCTGTGGGGCGCATTGAAGGAGAACAGTCGATCACAGATGCTGCTCTTTTCTTCGCCATTCATCATTCTGTAATTTCACGTTTATGGAAACAATTCAAAACCACTCAGACAGATGTCCGAAGGTCCGTAGGTGGTCACCCAAGGATTACAACCCCCGCGAAAAATCGATATATTGCCATTGTAGCCAAGTGGAATCGCAGAGCGACCTCCACACGTGTGACATCTATAGTTACAGCGTCCATTGGTAAGGCTATATCTGCAGCTACTGTACGCCCCGAAGATTACATATGAATGGATTGTATGCCCGGGTACCTCGAGTTTGTGTTCCTCTATCCGTCCAATCAAGAGGGGCATAATTAAAGTAGTGCCGGGAACATGTCGATTGGACTGTGTGTGTTTGACTGGAGCAATGTCATGTTTACTGATGAGTCAAGATTTGCTCTGGAGCCAGATGACAAGCGTATAAGGATATGGCGTAAACAAGGAACACACAATCAGCCCCAAAACATCACCGAACATCACGCATTCCGAGGCGGAAGCATTATGGTGTGGGCAGGGATTTCATTAGGATACCGCACCGACCAGCACATCTTTAAACGGGGTTCTGTGACGACTGTCCGGTATCGAGATGAAGCCCTAGAACCCATTGTAAGATTGTACGCTGCAACAGTTGGCCCTACTTTTGTTTTAATGGACGATAACGCACGTCCTCATTTTGCTGACATCGTCAATGACTACCTGTAGAGTGAAGGGAATGCACGTATGGCGTGGCCAGCATATTCACCCGACCTTAATCCCATTGAAAATCTTTAGGATGCTCTCGGCCGTGCTGTATCTCCACGTTTCCTACCTCCAGCCACTCTTATTGAGCTGGAAACTGCTCTACAAGAAGAATGGCGATTGCTTAGTTCTGCGGTGGTTGACCACCTAATTGAAAGCATTGTCAGAAGGTATAAACTTTGCATACATATGAGGGTGGATCACATACCCTATTAATGTCGTTTTTTTCATTTTATGCTGCTTATTTTCACTTTATACATAATTCTGCTTAAGTTTCCAGTATAACATTAATTGATAACTTACAAAAATTTAATATTGTTTTCATTTCTGTATATAATTATTGATTTTGTTTTATGTATAAATATATATGCTACTTTACTGCCAAATTTTGTGTCAATCAAAGCAGTATTTGTTGATTTTTTTGCATTTTACATTTTCGTGCTTAACTTTTGGAAGTGAGTGTATTATTTCCTCTTTCTTAATTATTTGGCACGAAGGTGTGTGGTTTAAAATCTCAAAATATCTCAACAATATATGATCCCGCAAAGTACTTGACGACATACTTAGTACAGTTTAATAATATGAATAATCAAAAAATATCTTTAAAAATGTCTTATAATTCCCGAAACTGTAAATTCAGCGTTTCTGAAGTAGAAATGCCTGTTTAGAACATCTACGAGGCATGTCCGGAAACTAAAAATCGTTTGGAAAACTTACAGAAAAAATCTTTCTTCAAAACAAAAATTACTTTTGCCTGAAATAGAATTTCAGAAACGATTTTTCTATATAGTTACCACCATTGTTCTGAAATTTTTTATATCGGGAAACCAACTTGTTGTATATTCTCTGTAAAGAAACATGCCGTCAGTGAACAGTTTTTTAAATTTGTAGAAACTCATTAAAAAGCAATCTTATTGTGAACCATTCGTTTTCACAAATTTTCTCATTCCCTTTTTAAACCAAACTACCATTAACAAGAGAAGGACACCGTGCTTCGTCATCAATATTAGTGGACCCATCATTGAATTGTCGAACCTATTATCTCATCATTCCATCATACCAATTACATTTTTCCTATGGCCGTCTGGGTGGCGTAGTTGGTTTGTCGCTGGCTTTCTGCACCTAAGGTTGCTGGCTCGACCCCAGCCCAAGTCGGTGGATTTTCATGATCCAGAAAATCGACAGTGGCCATGTCGTATGATTATGGTGCATGTAAAAATCCCTTGAAGTGCCCTTTGGCTAGTGTGCTCTGGGCAAATTAAATTCCTAAGTTCAATTTCGCATCGTCGGAACTCAGGGGAGGAAACTGGGTGTCAAAATTACTTGCTGATATTGGTATCGCCTATATGGTGCCGAAATAAAAAGTGATACCACCTCCTGGGGAATGAACTAGGCCTGCAAAGGTCAAAAATACCATTAGAGAGTAAAAAAACATTTTGCCTATAAATCCCTAGAAATTAAAGATGAATTTCAACTGGCTTAACATTATTTTAAAAAAAAAAATAGATTAAAGAATGTTCTTCACTGTCGGCGGAATCAGCAGTCGTATTAAACGTTTTGAAAGCTCACTAACAAGTGTAGAAACAATATAATCTCGCTACAATAGCGTCACTGCACTAACAATCAACCAAAGACACGTAAGCGCAAGGGTTGAACTGCGAAACTACCTTTGTGGTTGTGGTAGATCAAAACGTTACTTAGTTTCCGGGGAATGAGTGAGTGAGTGAACATTAACGTCACACTGTTTAGCTACACGAGGGCTTTTGGTGACGGACTTCGTCATTTTGAGCCATGGTCAAGTGACGAGGACGACACCTGATCAGTCACCAGCCTCTCCTAGCACACCACACCAACGGGCGGACGTTTGAGCTTTCGACAGATTTAACGTGCATCGCTCCCCTACACTGCGGGTCTTTAGTGGTACTGGGCTCGAACTCATGACACGTTAGCCACGAGTCCATTACATTGACCACTAAGCTACCGCGGCCACATTTAGTTTCCGGACACGCCTTGTAAGAAAATACTTCGTGCAACGGTACATATATTGTCTAACCATTTGAAATAAGTGGAGGTGAAATGATATACTCTAGAGTGGTAGCGTGTCGCGCTTCCTCACCAGGTCCGGGTTCTATTCCCGGCCTGGGTAAGGTCGACTCAACCTTTTCATCTCTGCTGCAGTGGGTCGGTAAATGAGTACCAAGCTTTCTTGGGGACTTAAACACTGGATGTCTTGCTTCAGACTGACCACCCGATCGGGACATCTGCTCATGCACCTCAGCGCCCAATGGTCACATATACTGGGATGGGCACAGCCCTCAGCCTGGCCCTCATGGGCTGTTGCACCACTGAGTTAGAGAAATGATATACATGGAATATGAATATAGTTGATAATAAGGAAAAATACAGATGAATCATCAATTTAGAAAGAGAGTATTTTTTTGCTCCTGTTACAGAAACACATCTAGAGAGACATTCTGCACTTTCACTCTGCTTCAAAAGAAGTCTTCTCATATTTAATCCGCGATCACTCGCGTGGGATGTTCTGTACACCCCAGCATCAAGAAAATCCTCTCAGGATTCTAAAAAGAATGCGCAGAACCCCGAATTTTTCTGCAGCTGCACATTTTAGATCATTGAACCTTCAGGCCTGATGCAATCCCTCTTTCTCGAACGATTGGAATGTAATGACCTTCAAAAGTTTATCTGGGGGCTGAGAACTCCCGCGAGAAGTTGAGCATTTGTATACAGTCTGCTCTGAATGTTTGGAAAATGATTAAAATATTATTTTTCTACTTTCTTCTATCAATATTTTATTGATTATAAAGTATATTTATTACTGGTAAATGAGTTTTACTGGTTTATGAAAAAATATAAAATTATGTGTTTTAAAATTAAAATTTTGTATGTTTAGTTTAAATTAGTGTTAGAGTCTCATTTGTATGCAATAAATTTAATAATTTTATTTGTATAACACAAAAAACATCTTGTACTTTATAAATATGTATAATGACTTAATTTTATTTTCATAACTAAATACACGTGTTAAAAGTTTGGGGGTGTTCTCTACACCCCGCGAGTAACGACGGTAGCAAAAACAGGCGCGGGTTAATGTGTGTGTTTTTAAAATATTGAAGGTCATTTGAGACTACTATATTAAGACTGTACTATTTTATTATATTGATATTTGGCCACACACACGCACGCAAGCATCATTTCAAAATTTGTGCAAATATGTTTTCAATATTAAAAAAACAGTAATTTATTGACAACTAATTATTAACATATTTTTCTTGTAGTAAACGTACATTAACTGTGAATATTTTAAGAGGCTCTGCGTATTTCCGTCTTTCTGCGATAGAGACTTTAGGAAAATAGCAATATAATTTCTTATTATATAGGGATGTATTTATCTTAATTTAATTTAATTTATTTATATATACTCGTTTTTATACTTTTTTCAATAAAGGTTCGTATAAGTTCACTGTTTTTTCAGCCTTTTATACTTAA